GTGGCTATCTCAAGTCATCTTATGTTTAACGTTGGAAGCCATATGATTTATTGCTTGCTTTGTACAAACAGATAACATCTATTGTTGTTTGTGACAAACCTTGCCAAATTATAACTGGCATATCACATATTAATTTGGCATTTCAAGAGTAATTGAAAAACATGTACAGTGAAAGGTAGATGGAAAGGCATATGTTAAACAAGTTGCTGAACACGATGTCAGTCTTGAGACAAAAAATATTACAGTCAATATAATATTACATGCGCTCACACAAAACAAAAACCATGCACTGTTCCCATGAATTCTAGCAGGATTCCTAGTACACATTTTATGGTCAAACATGTTTTTCTTTTTAGTATGTTTATCCTCACATATACACCAACTTCTCCTTCATAACAGCTCAAAGCACTCCTGGAAGGGCAAAAACCCCAACAAAACAAGGAAAAAAAAAAGAAATTGAAAAGTACAAGTGGCAAAGTCATTAATTTAGAAATAATTTCTAAATAAATTGAAATAAACTGGAAGTTGACAGAGGAGAAAGACATTGGAATAATAAGTGATCAAAGGATGATCAAGAGTCACTAATGTGATTCTGGTAGAGAAATTTAAATACAATCCTAAAATTTAAGTCACACAGAATTTTCCAGACTATACAAGGAAGTAACAATGACTTTGCACATGGCACTTGTAAGACTATTATTAAGAACAAAAGTTCTAATGGGAAGAAATGCAGTGGAAAGATACTAAAGTGAGGAGGAAGTAGAGTCTGTTTCACAAATAGAGACTGAATAAACAAAACAAACCCTATCAAGAGGGACTATTTATTAAATTTATGTAACATTTTATATATATACATACACACGTATATAACATTGTTACTTACACTCAAGGGCAGTATTCACGCTAAAAGATATCCACACACAAAATAAACTGTAAATTAGTCTGCATAACTGCATTTCTAACCATCAGAGAACAAATGATCTGCAGCAGTTGTTCTGTGTGGAGTAGCAAGGCAAAAAGCCTCACTACCTTTGAAACACATCAAGTCCCATTTATGCTATGAAGATCTATTATGTGACTGGATGAAACAGCAGTAGGGACTAGGACTTGACCTGAAGTCATCTCTTTCAGTCTTATATTTCTGCAGTGGCACTGGTAGATGCCCACACAGGGGAAATATGTGGGGTAACTTTACAAATGCAGGGAAACTATGATTGCAGCCTTAAAACAGCAACTTGAAAGAAAATTCTTTTCACTGATGATTAAAAAGATATCTCCTCCTACACAATCCAACTGGCTGAACTGTATTCCGTGAATACTCACTTATGCATCTGTACCTCTATACAGTCTACTTTTAGAAGAGTTATTTGCAATGATTTACAAGGTTCTCCCCTTCTCCTTACACTTCCTCCTTGAAGTAGCTTATGCAGAAACGAGCTGGTAATCTTCCCTTCTTAACTTTTCAATGGAAGTGCATGCTCACTACTGAGTAGTCAATACCTTTGTTTATAAAGTCCTGATTAATGTCTCTAATTTTGAAATGTAATTGAAATTGAATTTGTATCTGGGATGGAAGCTGTCTCTTGCTGCAAAACAAAAAGTTACCATCAGAGTCTCCCTGTCACATTTTGGATACAAATACATCCACCCAGACAAGTGGGTGTATTTTTAGTTTTTTTTTTTCCCCAACTCCTGCTGCATTTGATTGGTTAGAAGAGTCCCAAGTAGCCTCTGCTTTTGTCTGCTTCCAATATCTTGTTTGTCCACAGCAGGCCCTGCTTTCCTTTTTCCAGGTGTCCTAGTTTCTCTAGATTTGAGTTAAACACAAACAAGCATGCTTAAGTACATCTTGCTATTATTACAATTGACAATACTGAAAGTAATAAATAAATGTTTTCCAATTTATTTTTGCAGTAATAAAATAATTCACATACTTACAGCCGAGGATGTGTGCCCCTGTGGTATCACACTCTAGGTCCTCTTTTTGTCTGTCTTGTCTTCTTTATTTGACTGTTGTCCTATCCTTAGTTTCAGCAAAGTTCTTAGTGTATGCTTAACTCTGCTCTCAGAGATGTTGTTTCTTTTAAATTACAGCCATTCCAGATCATTTATTTTTAGTTATGCAATATACAATAGTTTGGGCCTACTGTACTGATCTTGAGGCAGTAGCAGACTTCAAAAATGCCTTCTGAAGAACATCCCTAATGTATCAGGTTGCATGATGGAAGAAAGGTGTCGATTCCCTAGAATGAGGGAAAAAGCTCAACAGAAGCCACAGACATTCCACATGACTTGTTTGAACACAAAGCCTGCTGCCATGGACTTGTTTTTTCCCCAAGATATGGCCTCCTTGTCCAACTGAATTTTTTTTCCCTAACACATTCCTAAGGCCTTCCGTATTTCTACAGGATTTCTGATTCTATGACAGCCTGACTTGATAGTCAGCTGATACCTGGAAATCCTGGCCGTGAACACAGGTACATACACTCTGGAGCTATATAAGACATGCCTGATAAATTAATAGCTTCATCCTGAAGGAGCTGAATTTACGGCTCATGTAAAGTTCAAGTAGATCATTCGAAGTAGGGCAATGCTCACTGAAATATGGGAGCCTTCATACAAATCCACCATGCAGCCACAAACTCCCTTTTTGTTTTTAAAGAAAAACAATGGACTATTTTGAAACCGCTGACTTCGAAGAATGGGACTATTCAAAGTAGCAAATTTCAGCATTCATGTAACTATGTGCAAGGTTGGAGGCTTAGACTGTAAGGTCTTTCAGGCAATGACTATTATTTATTAGGAGACTGCAAAATAGCATACTGGGAATGTGAACCAACAACTAGGCCTCCTAGATGCTAACACAGTATGGCTAAATATATTTATGTATATTGATGATACATAACTTGGCACATCAGTGATGCATATACCTTCAATTACTATTTTTGACACAGATCTCTCCTCAGAAGATTCCATAGCCTGTAGAAAGGCTAACTAGCACCCAGAAGTTTTACGTATACAGCAGTTAAAACTTCAGAGATTACTTATGTGGAGTTACTTGTTTTCAGCAATAGTGAATTCAAATGTGATTGAATTGGGAAGTTTTGCTGGAATCAGATATATCAGCTTCAGAGGATATAGTGATATACTCAAATACATGTGTTCACTGCATCATACTCAAATGATCTTACCATCATAAAATCAAACCGAAGTTTTTCAAATAATCCAAACTAGTTCTTTTTCAATGACACTAACTTCCTGGTAATGCTTTTGTACAATAAACATTTACAGAGTAATTTTAACTTACTTCCACTGACAGTTACACAGTTCTTTGCACAGTTTATGTTAACTGACTTTGGTTTGTTTTAAGGATGTATTTGGGCAGCTGAAAACAAAACCAAAAATAGATATCTTGAAGTGGTTGACAGGAAACCAATATGAGAACCAAAAAACCCTGAAGATAATAATAATAAGGAACATCTTATTTTTATTATCTGAGTGCAAAAGTGAATGGTAAAAACCTTATAACATTCAGTTACATATTAGTACATGGCACTAATATGATTCCCATGAGGTCAAGGGGAACTGCCCATTACAAGCTACAGAAGAGCGCGTATTTCCCAGCTATTGTGCAGCACTGTAATTACTCTCAATTTTGCTGGAACTCAAAGCTCCCTAACGTTGCCTTGTCAGTTCTACCTTAAAAATTTTTTTTCTGAGGACAACGAAACCACAACCCCTTCTGAAACTGCTAAAGACACTGGTGATTTAAAAAGAAAACGTTGGCACCAGAGACCAAAAGAAGGAGCATAAAATATACAGAACACAGACCATTTGGAATTGCAGGTGAACTTCAGTTTGTCACCTTTCCTTGCCTCTAATTTCTCAATTATAAACCTGACAATTCCCTCATCCCTGGAAGAAAATATGTTCACTATTTCAGTTTACTTTGGGAAAACAAAACAAAATCTTCCTCCTAGTTTCAATATATGTTGTTTTTTTGTTCCAGTGAGACATTTTAAAAACTTTCTCAGAAAATTTTTTGAAACTTCACAACTTGTAAATCATCCAGCCTGAGACAAGTATCTATGTTCATCTCTTCTACGTACAAAGTCAACCCTGTCAAAAATAGGTCTAAATGAAACAAAAATAATAGAAGATTTGCATTTTTATTTCATAACCTTACAAACTCATAATCAGATTTGTTAAATCTCATTAATTTACTGTCAAATATTCCTCATTGATGATTGCTATTAGATTATTCTGAAAAGTGTTCATGTACCACATTTTGCAGCATATTAAAAAAAAAAAAAGTTCAAATAATCATCTCTTCCAGGATATTTAGCATTGCTTATTTCCCTGATTGGAAAATCAGTTATGTCCAGAGCCATAAGGCAGGACACCTAGACATCCTCAGGTACCATATGGAAAATACATAGAGTCTTCCCATTCCCAGATGGGCAGTTCAATTTTCTTTTCCTGGAATAAGATGTCAGACTATTGGTTCACCCTGCCTTAAGTCTAGTCACTCTGACAGCGCAGCTAAACTTGTCTTTCCTTAAGAGAAATACTGCGATGTTGCTTAAGGATTTGTTATTTATTTACTTTAAATGTTAGCATCTCATTTATTTGTGAGGCATTTCTGAGAGTAGACTTCAGTTTGTTTTAAGGTTGCAAAATCACAGATGTGCATATACTTCTTCGCAAGGCTACTAACTCACGGTTTTGAAGGATTTTGTTTTCCCCCCTTCATCTAGTCCTCAGCCAGAGCCCCTTCCCACAGCCTTGGGGCACTCTAGGTAGAAGGCATCTCCCACAGACAGAGGCTCCTCGTCCAGACACGCTTTTATCTATACTAGGAAATAACCCTTTTTGGTAGCAAACCCTTACCTGCTCCCAGCCACTTACCGACACCACATCCCAAGGCTGCAGCGAGGCTTTCCCAGCCCTCAGGAGGCCAAAACGGCAGCACTTCCCGGCGGCGCCTCCCGAGTCGCTACCCGGCAGCGGTAAGAGGCGACCCCCGGCATGGCGCTGCGAGCCCCTCCA